TACTTGGACAGAGAGGCAGTCGTTGCTAACATTGTTTGGGGCCAACTCAAAATGGTGTCGAGTAACTTGTCCTTGAGTTATGTCTAGTCATGTCAAGCCTTTAGGAACCCTGCGTGCGCACGGGGGGTGGGGTGGGGGGGGGGGTGGTGTCTGAGGCTGACTTAGGGGAGCCGGCTGCCACACCTTTCTCCCACAGAGCGGCTGGTGGGTTTGAACCGCCCACCTTTTGGTTAGCAACAGAGCACTTCCCCATTAGTGTCACTACGACTCCTGAGAATCCACAAGCCATCCATCTTATATTTTATCTGAGCCACTGAAACGTTCGTTGATTTACTGAGAGCCGTTCTTTGACAGTGAATCACAGATGGGCATTTGCCGTGTAGTATGGGTGGCACCATACAACACGCAATGGCACCTAACAGCAGCGACACATGAATGCCAGTCTTTCCCAGTCTTTGGGAAGCATTCCAGGGCACTTTCATAGAAACAAAAAGTTCTTTCTTTGGGCACTTATTGTTGATCAGTTTATCTAGCACTGTTGGATTACATAAGGCAATTCGAGGACGTGTAGAAGCAGGTTTGGGGACAAGCACACAAGGGGCTCTTTCAAATGCACAGGATGCCCCAGGGGAGATGGGCTTCCTACCTGGTAGCCCCCCAGGGCGTCCCTCCACAGGGGGTCCGAGGGAAGGAGGCACAGTGATGAAAAGAGAGTCAATAAAGAGCACACCTGCTGAGAGGAACTAGCATAAGGTACACATTTGCGTGTTCCAGACATTGAAAGTGAATGAAGTTCTGGTGGCGGAGGAATTGCTTTCCTGATCCCTCCTCCCCCACTCTTCCTGGCTGCCCCTTTCCCAAAGACTGGCTTTCATTTGAGCTGGTTCACTAGGGTTTTAAAAACAACAACTTGGATTTTGTTTTCAGGGGAGTAAGAAATGAATGCTGGGGCTGGGTGCTGAGTTCAGCCCATTCGTGTGGTCCATTGGGGTCTGGGAGGCTTACTGCTCTGGTCTTCATTACTCATGGTGATTGTGCTGGTTGCCAGAGAGGCGGAGGGGTCCCTGGGTGACCGTTAATGTGCTTGATTGCTAATGCAAAGGTCAGAGATTCAAGTCCACCAGGAGGCACCGCAGAACAAAGGCTTAGAGGCCCACTTCCAAAGACTCAGCTGTTGAAAACCCTACTGTGCGCAGTTCTATACGGACTCTTGAGTTGCCATGAGAAAGTCCACTTCATTCAAAAGAGCCCCAACCAAACCCAACAGCCAATGATTCCAACTCATATCGACCTTATATAGGGTTTCTCGGGCTATAAATCTTTAAGGGAGCAGATGGCCTCCTCTTTCTCCCACAGATCTGTTGGTGGGCTTGAACCAATGACTTGAGGTTAGCAGTCCAACATGTACTCAGCAGTACCACTAGTGTCTGCTCTATGGCGATTGGTAAAACAAGCAAACCAGGTAGAACGTCGAGTTTTTAGAATAGGAGGCTATTTATAGGGCATGTTGTCTGAGGAAGAGGTCTCCTAAACTGCCCTCACAAGAACAGAACTCACAATAGCAGAATTACCCACAAATGAATTACTCACAATAACAGAACCAGCCAGCTGACATGGTATCATTGTGCAGATGAGCCGAAGGTGCCTTTTCTTGGCAAGGTGCAGTCCTGCAGGCAAAGTCCAGGTGCGGGAGCTGGGGCTGGATTTCAGGTCCCAAACACCCACTCAGCCAAGCAGCTTGGTGCAGTTGGCAACCTACACACCAGTCAGTGTTATGCCAAAATGTATGGTGAGTAGAATGGTCAGGGGAATCACTTCTTTGTAGGCTGGTTCCAAGAGAGAGGCTGCAAGCTGCATTTGCAATCCTCTGGGGTCAAGGGATTGAGACCTAGGACAGTTTTACTGGTTCATGAGAGCCAGTTGCTACAGTTTCAGGAACTCTGGGAGCATATAGGGTTAAGCACAACCATTAATAAAAAGTGAAATGATGTAAACTCATAATTAAATACATTATATAAATAACAAGGACTCAGAATTCATCACATCGCAATTACTGACTGCATCATGCTATTAGCACTGATCTTGACATTGGTTTAGGTCTAGTGTATCTGGATGGTGGAAATACTGTGTCCTGGGCTGTGCACCACTTTACCCAACTCTGTGTATGGTATTTCTAGAATCTCTCTGATACGTCCAAATGGTCCTGCCTGAGGTCACTTTGTGGTGAAGGACATCAAAGTCCTCAAAGAAGAACGCACATTGAGGAGAAGCAAGAGTGGTCTTTCTCCCATGGATGAAGCTGGAGTTGCTGACCACAAGAGACGGCCAGTGTGGCTGAGAACACAGGCAGTAGAGTCCGAAGGCTTGATGTCTGAACTCTGACCCTGGCACTTCTTGTGTGTGACCTTGGGTTAAGTGACTTGACCTTCCTCAGCCTCAGAGTCTTCATTTGTGAAACTGGTTGCCATGGAGACACTGGTATGATGGCATGCTGATGTGATGCGGTGAAGATCCTGGTACAGGGCTTGGCACAGAACAAACCTCAGCAAAAGGTAGCCATTGCTGGTTAGGTAGGTTTGCTCAATATCACGAGGATGGTGTAGGATCAGATGGTGTCTTGTTCCGTTGTATAAAGAGTCATGATATGTCCAAACTGACTCCACAACACCGAGCAAGAAGCTTGCTCAAGCTGAGAGCACTGATAGCACAGACCTTCTTGCCCGTCACTGGGCGATTTATGGCCGTCATCAACTGCCAGTTTAGGTCTGTTTTTCACAGGTCTCTTTTCAGTCCATTGGTTTCTTTTCTATTTTCACATACCAAGGACTGTTTTGCTGTTGCTCTTGTTCCTGGTTTTTTAATTTTTTTATCTTTAACTCTAAGTTTTTAAACATCATTTAATTGGAGGCTCTTACAGATATTATAACAATCCATAATGCAATTCTATCAAGCAAACTTGTATATATATTGCCATCATCATTTTCAAAACATTTTCTTTCTCCTTGAGGACTGGTTGGTTTTGATTCTGCTTTTTAAAAAGCAAAGATGATCATTGGCCCTAATGAGTAAACAAACAAACAAAAAACAGCCAAACGCAAACCAAACACACTGCCATTGAGTCAATTCTGACTCACAGTGACCTTGTTGGTTAGGGTAGAACTGTCTGTGAGTTTCTGAGACTGTAACTTTTTATGGGAGTAGAAAGCCTGTCCGGTCTCCTGTAGAGCAGCTGCTGGTTTCAAACTGCTGACCTTCTAATTAGCAGCCTAATGTATAACCACAATGCACCGAACTTGGCTCACAATAACCATTGTCATGTGTCAAACTCATAATGAAGACAATGACTGTTAGGGGGACAAACTAGTCTGTCGAAGACACAAATGTTGACCAAATGGCTTAATCTATATCTTTATAGCCACTAAAAGATACATGGTGTTGTAGATTCGTAGAGTTTGGGGCCTATTTGCTACATGTGAGTTGTGCCACCAAACTGATTTCCCAAGGCCCAAATCTGATCACAGTCCTCACTCATTTGAAACTCTCCAGTGGCTGCCACTGTCTGAGGGACCCGTGCAAAGCTTAGCAGGTGCAACCATTGCTAATCTGATCCAGACAGTCTCTCCACCTGCCTGCAATGCTCTCCCTCCACTCGCACATGAGTCCTGAACACACCTGCACACTGCTGTGCCTCTTGCCCACCTCAGTTTCTCTGAAGAGTTTCTACTCCTTCAAAACTCCAGCAGAAATGCATGTCTGAATTGTCTCTCGGCTTCCCCAAGCCAAACCGAGAGTTCGCTCTTTGGCTCCTCAGTGGAGCCCTTTCCATGCCTATGTGGATGTGTTCGCAGCATCCTGTTAAGTAACAGAGGCATCTATATGCAGGACTGGCTTGGAAAGACACTGCCCAAAAGTGTAGTCAGTGCTCTGCTTGTCTTTGGGACCCCAGACCCACACCGCAGTGCTTGGCAGACCACAGGAAGTTACCCAGGCCAGTAAATACAGTCCCCAGAACCAAGCCCAAACCTCTCACCATCTAGTTGATTCCCACTCTTGTCAACCCATCCCCATGGATTTGGAGCTATCTTTCCAGGAGCCCTGGTGGTGTAGTGGTTCTGAGTTGTGCTGATAACTGCAAAGTCAGCAGTTTGAAACCACCAGTTCCTCTGTGGGAGAAAGATGGGCTTTCTACTCCCGTAAACAACTACAGTCTTGGGAACTCACAGGGTCACTCGATGGCAGTGAGTTGAGTTTGTTGGTTGGTTGGTTTCTAGGACCCGCATTACAGGAGCTAGCGAGTCTTTGTTTCCAACCCCACTTCTATCACTTGCAAATATATTTAGCTGTCTTCCTTAATGTCCCAGTTCCCTCAGTTGACAAATGGGAGGAATATTAACCTCATGGGAGGCCTGGTGGCACAGTGATTACGAGTTGCCAATCCATAAGGTTAGCAGTTTGAAACCACCAGCCACTCTGGGGCTTTCTACTCCTATACAGAGTTACAATCTTGGACAGATGCAGTTCTACCCTCTCCTATAGGGTCATCATGAATCAGCATTGGACTCAAGTGTTCGTGTTTTCTCAGCAGATACCCGAAATGTCCAGCAACATGTGGCCATGCCACAAACATCTTGGAACAGATTTTACTCAACCTGCTTGTGAGTCAGATGGTTGACCCTGATCCTCTTGATGTTGTTCTCAGCATAATTGTACTGGAGCAGCAGATGGAAGACTCAAGGGGGTCCAAAGTCTAGAGAGAAAATCTAAACCAGGGAGCAGATGCATGACCATCATCCCTCGTTACCTTTCACCCAAGCAAGTCCATCGTTTCTTTGTTGCTGGCCTTGATCGCTGGCCTTGACGATCACTGAAAATAATAACTGCATTTCCCAAGCATGTCTGCATTTCCCAAGTCATATATTTCCAGCCCCAGAGCCAAAAGAAAATCAACTCAATCCACAGCTTTCATTAACATTTAAGCTTTGAAGTTGAACACACAGAAGGAAAATTAATGAACTGATTTATTTGTCTTCCCTGTGACTCGACCATTCAATCTTTATCCAGAACATGTATATTTCTATGAGATGCATATTTTAAAAAAATTACTGCACATGCATACTTCGTAAATCAACTTCTGATTCCATTTGGGTTTCATTTGTGTTAGAAAACATTCCGTTACCACATGAAAGGAGAGACGAGGGACAGCCCCGAGACTGGCTAAGCCAGCAAGCTCTTCTCGAAGCATCTTGAGGATGGTGCCTCTAACTCTGACAGCTTGGCCTGGCCACTGGTCAAACTGTCAGGAAAATAAACCAGAGATCTTGAAGGCCTTTTGTCTTGGAGTCCCACTTGCAAGTCTGGTTTGGAAAGTACTCTTGACCAAGAAGGTTCCTCTTCTCTGGTTGGCCTCAGTGCAAGAGGGCCACGAGGAGTTTCTGGAAGTCCCCCGAGGTATCAGAACGAACCATGTCAGTCAGAGACTTCTGGTACTTCTCTAGAAACTTTGCTCTGATCCCCCGGAGGTCAATCTGTGGGAGAGACAACAGGGGCCAGGAGGACAACAGTTATGACATAAGCCACAATCAACAGAAGGGACTGTTCAAGTACCCGATCCACATCTGATCGTGCCTGCCTCAAGGCGGTCCTTTCCTGAGGAATTACTGAGAGACGGAAGAGGGCGAGTATGATGGTGGGGCAGGAGGAGGGTAAAAGGAAACAGGGGAAAAATCTAGGAAGCAAAGGTATGGATAGATGTATAAACATAGGTGTGCACATATGTAAATACATTAATTCATAAAAATAGAGGTACTGGCTTAGGTACATATATTTTTATGGCAATACACTGAGGTAGTGAACAGATTTCAGGCCTCTGCTCATGCCCCCCCCTCAATGCAAGAACACTTTACTTTGTTCTAGCAACTTGGCATTCTGTGATGCTCACCCTCCCAGCGCAATCGCTGAAGACAAAATGGGTGCATAAGAAAATGTGATGAACAAAATGGATGGTGCCCGACTATCAAAAGATGTAGTGTTTGGGGTCTTAAAGGCTTGAAGTTAAACAAGAGGCCATCTAGCAGAGAAGCAACAAGTCCACATGGAAGAATCACACCAGCCTGTGCAATTATGAGGTGTCGATAAGATTGGGTAACAGGCATCAGAAGACCCCAAACAAACAAATAAGCAAAAAGCCATATTGTTGAGAATGAGGGCGGTCAGAGCAGAGACCCCAAACCCGTCTGTAGACAATGAGACATCCCCTCATAGAAGGGTCACAAGGAAGGATGAGTCAACCAGGGTGCAGTATAGCACCAATGAAACACACAACATTCCTCTGGTCCCCTGAGGCTTCCTCACCCCCCATTATCATGACCCCAGTCCTGCATTTCACTGTGGGCTAGACTGGAACATGTAGACAGGTACAGATAAGAGATAAGAGCTCATGACACATTGAATCCAGGAACAGGAATGGGAGGAGCAATACCAGAAGAGAAGGGGCAAGGTGGGGAGAGGAGGGAAGGAAGGGGGAACTGGTTGCAATGATGGACACATGATCACATCCACCCCCCACCCCGCCAGGGGGATGAACAACAGAAACCATGGGGAAGGGAGACAGTGGTTGGTGTAAGATTTGAAAATAATAATAATTTATCATTTATTAAATGGTTACGAGGGGTGGGGGGAGGGAAGGAAAAAAAGAGGAGCTAATACCAGGGGCTCAATAGAAAGTAAATTCTAGAAAATAATGATGACAACATATGTACAAATATGCTCGATACCATTGATGTATGGATTGTTATAAGAGCTGTAAGAGCCCCCAATAAAATGATCTTTTCATAAAAAAATTTTTATAGGATGGAGGGAAAAAAAAGACAGCCTTTGAGGTAGGAGGGACTGGCATTCCTGTTTTGCAGCCGAGCAAAGGGGGGCCATGTCCAGGCTTCTGAAGACCACAGGGCTGTGTGTGAGCAGTCTGAGCATTCCAGGGAAATGTCAATACGGACATGGAAACAAAGTCCCTATTGCTTTTATGTGTTATGAGATATTATTCTTTTGAGTCCCCCCACCCCACCCCCCGGGACCCCTGGGTGGTGCAAACGGTTAAAAGCACGTGACCATGACTGCTAACTAAAACCACCACGTGGGTCCAGAGGTTCCCGGAAGGCAGGCTCAGGGAGCTGCTGTCAGAAGGTGGCAGCCTGGAAAACAACTCTGGGGGTGTCCCCTCGGGACACATGGGGTTGCCACGAGTTGAAATTGACTCACCAGCCTCGGACCTCAACCGGGTTGGGAAATGAGCCTGTTCTCAGGCAGCAGGGCTGTCTGAGGCCCGGTGATGGGCCAGCTGTGCCCTGCAGGGGAGAAAGATGAGGCTCCTCCCACAAAGATTCACTGCCCCAGAACCTGCACGGAGAAGTTTCATTCTGTCCCACAAGTCGGAATCCACTAGATGGCAGTGGGTAGGATGTTGAATCTAGTACCCTTGGTGGCGCAGTGGTTAAGCACTTAGCTGCGAACTGAAAGGTGGGCAGATTAAATTCATCAGCCACTCTGTGGGAGACAGATGTGGCGGTCTGCTCCTGTAAAGATTCACAGCCTTGGAAACCGAGGGGGCAGTTCCACTGGGCCTGTCGGGGCCTTAGGAGTTGGAATTGACTTGACTGCGGTGGGTTTTGTTTGGCTTTATGCTAAATCTAATTCATTGGAAGCTGGTAAAATGTAGGTGCTAAAGGTAGGGTAGGAGCAACACCAGGCTTTCTACTCCCTTAGAGATATATAGTCTCAGAAACCATATATAAGGTTGCCTCTGCCTTGAAACTGGCTCTGTGGCAGTCAGCGGCAGTCGAGTGAGGGTGGGGATTCAGAAGGAAAACAAATTAGGGTTCTCTGCCCTAAAGAATCGTATCATTTCATCAGGGAGTCAGTCATTCTTGCTCCAGAGAGAGTTCCAGGTGGCCAGTAAACCAGTTGCAGTTCAGTCTATTCTGAAGAGCCCTTTGATCTATGGACACCAGACCGTGAAATGATACCACCCAGAGAGCCCACCTTGATGGCAACTGGAATGTCTGGTGGGCCTAAAGCCTTCTGAGGGCATAGTCCCAATCTGGAGATGACCCAGGCCCTTGGGCACTCATAAGTGGGTCAGCGAGTCTTGGACTAAAACATTTCCTTAGCTCACGCTCCATCGTTTCTTTGTTGCTGGCCTTGATCGCTG